CTTTAAGAAATATAGGTTGTGTTATCTGTCTTCAGGTTTCTAACATGGTCCTTATATTTATAAAATTCTTTTTTCCCTTCAACACAAAGTTATTCAGAGTATTTAGTACTGTGTTCTTGAATGGGTAAGACCATTTGTCTTCTTTCTCCTTCAGAATCTACTTTATGGAGAGTACATTAATTTTCAGGATAAGGACTGACAAATAAAAAGCAGTCTAAAACCCTTTCTAAAAATCTTGCAGTAGACATTACTAATTGATCATAGACTCAGAGGAAATCTATTTGCTGTTTGTGGTATGCATTGCAAATGGGGAAAGGCATTGAAAATAGTTACCTTACTCATTCAGTGATATTTGAGTGCCTCCTGGGAGCCAGCCAGGTATTATTTCCCAGTGAGATGATTCCTCAGAGATAAAGCTGAGTAATGTGGCATATACCTTGCAGAATAAAGGGAGATAGACAGTAACCATAACAAGCAATAGACACATATGGCTAAGTAGGTTGTTAAAAAGTTATTTTATGGAAAAAAAGAGAACGATATAGGGAATTGGAATAGTTGGATAATTTCAGTTTTAAATGGTGATGTGAGGACCTCAGTGATGGAGAGAGGGAGTAGCTGGATAGATGTTTGAGAACAACCTTTTTGCAGGGACAAGCACCGCAAGGTCCCAAGGCAGGGCTCATGTGAATGAATGCTGCCCTTGGTATCCAGTTTGTGAGAAGGGTGGCTTTTACATTACTTAGAGAAATAAGGAGCCAGTAGAGGATTTTGAACACAACCTTTTATAATGAAAAAAAATCCTAAAGTTCTGCATTTTTCTCTGTGTTTATCATCTGTATTTTTTAAAAATGTAACTTGCCTTTAAATAGTTAGAATTATTTACTCTATTTTGTGGCTTTTATCAATTTTATTTTACCATTTGAAGTATAGGTTAGCTGTTCATTCTAACTAATGCTCTCGAAAGATTCGAAGTATTTCTTACCTTGTAAAGTCTGATGACAGCTTGTATTTTATTAGAAATTTTCATATCCTTAATGAGCAAAATTATGAAATTGAATAAAAGATCTCATTTTCATTTTCCCTATTTTATCGTAACACTAGATAGTAACAAATGCATAAACACGCATTCATTTTCTGTTTAGAAAAATGGGAAAATTAAATTTGTAGGTGTGAGTGTATGAGAGCTCAGATTTTAGACCTTTACACTTCTGGTACAAAAGAGCTAATATGAGAACTTAGGTTAGTGTTAATTTTTCTTTTTTTGAAGCTTTAGGACAGACAGCTTTACTAGAATTTTAAAGAAAAGTCCTCAGGGCAAGCAGGCTTGAGGAGAACGGAGAGAAGGAAGAAAGCCACGAAGCCTTGCAGGCTCTGCATGACTTAGAGCCTGCATGGAAGCCAGACATGGTGGACTGGCAGGCACATGGCAGGGAGAACGACACTCTAGAGAAAAAGTAAAGAGACACGAGGTACTCGGGCAGCCCACAGTGTTAGAGAAAACATGCATTGAAAAGGGGTATGGAGACAGCAACAGGAGATGACGCTTTTCTCAGTCCTTCAGGAGAGTGGGCAGACTTAGAGAATGACATGTCCAGAAGCACTGCTCCTGATGCTTATTTTTTTAATAAGCAGAACAATTCAAACAATTTAGTATTTATTGATACAGTGACATCTTACTATGAAGTATGATCTTTTCTTTGGAAATGCTTGGAAGACTTCTGAAACGTGTTGTTGTCTTTACAGATTTTTTAGACAGGATGTCTTGGAGGTCAGGCTGGATAGCTAATCAAGGATGACCTTGAACTCTTGATCCTCCTTCCTCAAACTCCCGAGGACTGGATTACAGCATGTACTACCATACTAGCTGAAAGGGCTATATATTTTTTAAAAAAAAGATTTATTTATTTTATTTATGTGTGTATGCCTGGGTAAGTTTATATGTACCACGTGTGTGTAACTGTCCACAGAGGCCAGAGGGCATTGGGTCCCCTAGACTTGGAGTTAGAGGTGGTTGTGAGTTGCCTGATGTGGGTACTGGGAACTGAACCGGGGTCCTCTGGAACAGGAGTAAGCACTCATAACTGCTGAGCCATCTCTCCAGCCCCTGAAAGGACTTTGTAATATCTTTTCCTTAGACTGTCAGCTCCAGGAGAACACAGAGCATGTTTATCCTGTTTATTTGCATGCACTAGCACCATGGACTTAGTAGACAATAAGTACCCATTGATTTTAATTGAGATAGCTTATGATAGAGCTTAGTGATAGTTAGCAGCTCAGTAAATCCATTGCCTTTATTTTTGTTTCTTTTTATCTCTCAACTGGAAAATCAGAGTCTACATGAACAGAGTCAAAGAAATAACAGATAAGAAAAAGGCTACCAAACTGGACAGAGGTGCTGCTTCGAGATTCGTAAAAAATGCACTTTGGGAGCCCAAACTGAAAAAGGCGTTAAAGATTGCTAATAAAGGGAAAGGTAAAAACTAACCTTTTGGCTTTGATGTACATATATTCAAAAAGTTCTTCACTTTTTATCAGTTGGCAATGCAAGGTTTAAATGGATTCTTTTTTTGAATTCATATATAAACTTATACTTTAAATTTGTAATACTGAACCCTTTTTTTTTGCGGAGAAAGATTGTGTTGATTGATCTTCCTATAGAGCATCTTGTAGTTTTTAATATTTAAGATACCCTATAAGCAATTATGAAATGTAAATGTTCTCTGTAAACATTTGTAGTGTTTTAAATGAATAATGACATTATGAAATGTACTCTGTTGCTGAAGTTACTTGTTTTCACTAATGATGATAAAAATGAAATGACTTAAATATCTACTCTGTTTTCCGTATAGTTAGTTCAACATGTTTCTGTGATTTTAAGAGTGATTGCTTTCTTGATATTCACAATGTGAAATTAAAACCTTAAGATTGTACTTTAATTCCTGATGTTTCATTTGAAATAAAATACATTTTCATTAACATCTGATGGAAAATAAGGTTGTATGTCAATAGCTGACTTTTGGCCTGATGCTTTAAAAAAAGAAGATTTGTTTTTATTTGTACATGTGTTTTGATTGTTGGTGTGTTTACTGGTATGTGTATAGTGCCTCTTAAGGCAGAAGGTTGACAGAGCCACCATGTGGGTGTAGGGAATTGAACCTGGTTCCCCTGGAAAAACAGCAAGTGCTCTTAACCCCTGAGCCACCTCTCTAGTCCTCTGATGCCTTCTTAATAAAGATTATAACTGAGTAACTGACTTCTTTTTCTCCTCTGAATGAAGGCGTTTGAGAAATTCTTTCTAATAGAGAAAATTTTGAGTTTTGCTCCTCAATTCTCTTGGTCTTTTTTAGATTTTTTTTTTTTTGACTCTATTTTCTAGGCTAAATCATATACTTATAAATATTTTGGAGTAATTTTCTTTGTTACATTCTGCCCCTCAAGCACAGGAAAAAACACTGTATTTATATTTTGATTTATTTTTCCAGAATATTTGTTATGGAGATTTCTACTTATTAATTGTTTCAGTTTCTAAATCCATGAATTTCCATTATATATTCTTGGTGCCTTCAACCCATATCATTATGTGTAGGAATGCCAAGTACTGCCAAGCACTTTAATTTTTGAAAACAAGCTGATAGAATTTTTTGTGATTAGTTCTCCATGAGTAACCTTGAGTAAATGAATTTCATGAATGCTCGTAAAAGTGTTAAGGATTTTGTAAGGCATGCTGAGTTCTTTCTGTGATACATGAAGAAGTCATTGATAGATGCAGAAAGCCTCTTTTAGCCAAGATAACAGATGATTTTTGAAATGAAAGAATATCAACATTTGTAGTTGTTTTACTCCTTTTGCCATTTTAATTCAAATTTCTATATATTTAAAATTTTTTTTGACTTAATTTTAAGGATATCAGTATTTTGCCTGCATATAAATAAGTGCACCTGTGTTGTGCAAAGCCCGAGGAGGCAGAGGAGGGCATTGGATCCCCTGGAACTGGAATTACAGTTGGTTGCTAGCTGCCATGTGGGTGCTAAGAACTGAACCTGGGTCCCCTGGAAGAGCAGCCAGTGCTTTTAACTGCTGAACCATTTCTCCAGCCCCCTCTACATATTTTTAAGAGTAACTTCATTAGAAAAATAAGTGCTTTATTAAGATCAATTGTAGTATGCATGTCTTTGTGTTGTTTATTGCAAAGAAACTTATACATTGTATTTGTATTTAAATTTCATAAAGGAAAAAAGTTAAAATGAAAAATGGCAGACAATTGCAAAAAATCATTAACCAAAATACTGGTTTCTGAAAGCCCATTAAATCAGAAAGTCTTTTTAAAAACTTAAACTATTTATTTATTTATTTATATACTTACTTAAC